GACAGCTCTGCTAGCATAGTGGTTAAGAAATCAGGCTGTGAACCTCAAGGTCAGCAGTTCGAAACTACCAGCTGTTGTTCCGTGGGAGAAAGATGAGGCTTTCTGCTCCCGTAAAGATTTACAGCCTCGGAAACCCTGTACAGGGTCGCTATGAGTCGGAACCAACTCCATGGCACGTATCAACAACAATCACTTTCTACGCTGATGGGGGAAGCTGGAATGGCTCCCTCATTGACCAGACTGCCTTGCAGGCTGCAATCACTCACAATAAAATAAATACTATCTGAACCTTATAGCGTAGTGGTTACGAATTGGACTGCGAGCCTCAAGGTCAGCAGTTAGAAACTACCAGCTGTTTCTCGGGAGAAAGATAAGGTTTCTGCTCCCGTAAAGATTTACAGCCTCGGAAATCCTGTGCAGGGTCACTATGAGTCGGAACTGACTCCACGGTACTTACCAACACCAACAACATCTGAACCTTATTCATTGCAGCATAGAGACACTGCCACAGAATGAGGTGCGTGATTACAGAGGTCACTTTGGAGGTTTGAAGTTCTGTGAACACTATGCCCTCTGCCCCTGTATCCCACAAGTGAAGTAGCCAAGCTGCTGCCAACTCCCTCTCCTTCAGGTAACTCCGGCAGCTCAGCAGTAGTGCAGTACTGCATGGTGACATGCTGCCACCACTCAGGCACCAATAAATGAGTGGGATCCACACCAGCTGGAAGAGGTTAGTCTGCTTTAATCTTAGCAACCAAAACTGGTTGGGTCTCAAATTGAGGGACCTCTATCTCTTCATCCCAGTTCTCCCCTTCTGAATTGATTAAGAGTTCTAGCAGATCCCCTTCCTGATTACAACATGTACCCACTGATGGGGTGAGTGCTGCTCCTTAGCCTGAGTTACAAGTCAGGGTTTCTACTTTCTACAGAATTTTTATGTTTGGAAGCAGGTGGCCAGAACCTCGGTGGTATTGACTTGTACCTCCCATGCCTCTCTCAAAGTGCAGCTCATCTGTCAGTGTCTGTACTGCTGTCCATACAGCCATGTCCACTTCTATAATGGCATGACAGCACATCGGAGCATCCAGGCTATTAAAGCAATTCAGTTTATTAGATTATATAAGTAATTAAAACAAATTGTTTTGTAAAGATCTTATAAAACAATTTGTTGTTAGTACTTATATAATCTAATAAATAATATAACCAAGCAATTTACAAGCATATTTATTACATATCATACAATGATTAAAACTGGTAATAAACATTGCAAATGTTTCTGTATTGTCTGGCACAGGAGGAGTTCCATGGTGGGAGAAGGGCTGACATCATGAGTTTCTGCACTACCCTAGTTACGCCACTGATAAAACCATCAAAAAATTTGGCTATTGGTGTATTAAGAGTGAGTTTATTAGATCGATAATATGTTGTTACTGTTATTAAGTGTCATTGAGTTGGTTCTGACTCAATGATCCTACATAGGCGTTCAAATCGCCAACATTGCAGTTAGCAGTCCAATGCTTGTCTCATGGTCCCACACAATGACTCCATGAAATAAAGATAATGTTGTTACGTGCTATCCAGTCGGTTTCGACCCATAGTGACCTTGTATAGGGTTTTCAAGGAACAGCTGGTGAGCTTGAACCACTGACCCTGAACCGCTGACCTTGAGGTTCAAACTGACAGTTCATTAACCCACAGCACCACACCACAACTCCATAAAGGCACTAGGATTTCCTGTTTACTAGACAAGCACTTTAGTCAAAGAAGATAAGGGATTTTAAAATTCCTCTAAGCTGACTGTTGGCTAAGCATTTCGCATATGTTTTTTAATGAACTATATTTCAGCTGTTTTTCTTTTTGCATGTTTATTTGCAAATTTGTTTGGGCATTTGAAAGCTGAGTCCAAGAAGGAAGCATAGAAAGCTTGTAGTCATACTTTCAGGTTCCTACCTTTGCTTGCCACTAATTCTACTGAGACCACAACAAATTGTCCCTTCTGGTAATATGTCTTTATTGATAAAAATAGAGCATTTTTGTGTAGACACTTTAAGACCATCTTACACATTTAAGCATGCCTTTTGTTCAAATGTGACAAGATCAGTGTTTCAAACTTTCAAGTAATATATAAGCAATCAGTAGATTTAGGGTGCAGTTATTTCTTTGCTCTTGTTTTGTTTTATTTGGGGATTTTTTAAAGGTGTAATTTATCTGTGTGTGTCTTGTTGTTTTCTGGGCAGCCCCACAGCCATCACACCACAGTTTCCCAGAGGAGCCATCCACCATCTTCTGGGTGGCAGTGATGACATGGACTGTGGTCATGACTCCTTCCATGATGCCAAAGTCATCATGGATAACCTTGGTTGTGGGGGAGTGGGCAAACAGTTGGTGGTGTAGGAGGCATTGCTGACAATCTTGAGAGAGTTATCATACTTTTCATGGTTTATGCCCATCACAAACATGGGGGCATCAGAAGAAGGAGCAGAGATGATTACCCTTTTGGCACCACCCTTTAAGTGAGCCCCAGCCCTCTCCAAGGTTGTGAAGGCTGTGGTGGACTCCAAACATACTCAGCACCAACATCATCCCCACTTGATGTTGGTGGGATCTTGCTCCTGGAAGATAGAGATGGGCTTCCTATTGATGGCAAGCTTTCTGTTCTCAGCCTTGACAGTGCCATTGAACTTGCCACGGGTGGAATCATACTGGAACATGTAGACCATGTAGTTTAGGTCAATGAAGGGGTCATTGATGGCAACAACTTCCACTTTGTCAGAGTTAACAGCAGCCTTGGTGACCAGGAGACCAATATGGCCAAATCCGTTGACTCCAACCTTCACCATCCTGACTCAGGGATGTGGCTGGGACTGCAAGAGAAGCTGCCGTTGAGTGTCGAATGGGGAGGAATAGAAAGTCCTTTCATCTTCTTTTAATGCTTTCTTTATCATTCAATATTTTGCCCATAGAATCTTTCAATATTACAAGTCGAGGCCTGAATTTTTTCTTCAGTTCCTTCAGCTTGAGAAATTCTAAGAGTGTTATTCCCTTTTGGTTTTCTAACTCCAGGAATTTGCACTTTTCATTATCATACTTGACTTTGTCTTCTAAAGCTGTCCTTTGAAATTTTTTTTTCAGCTCATTTACCTCTTTATATCTTCCATTTTCTGTAGCATCTCTGCAATGGAGAAATAAGTTTCAGAGCTCTTCTGACATCTGTTTTGGCCTTTTCTTTCTTATTAAAAAATAAGCTTCTGCTTTCTTTCTGTATGATGTTCTTGATATCATCCCAAAATTTTTCTGGACTTCAGTCATTAGTGTCTAATGCATCAAATCTGTTCTTTAGATGGTCTCTAAAATCTGGTGGTATATGTTCAAGGTCATATATTGGTTCTAATGAGCTTGCTTATTTTATAATAATAGTAGTATTAACTGTTTTTCCTTGTAGGCATATGCATACTATACTATCACAGACAGTGTTGTACTTCAAGATAGACCCTGAAACTTTCTTTTTGACGATGAATAAGGCCCAATCCTGTTCAATTTGTCATTCTGGGCATAGAAAATCACACAATTGTCAGATTCAAAATGGCATATACCAGTCCATTTCAGCTTACTGATGTCTAGGATATTAATATTTATTTTTTCCATTTCATTTTTGACAGCTTCCAATTTTCCTAGATTCATATTAGTAATTCATGTTCCAATTATTAATGGATGTTTGCAGCTGTTTCTCCTCATTTTTTAAGTTGTGACTAATCAGCAAATGAAGGTCCTGAAAACTTTAGTCCTTTCCCTTCATCACGGTCAGCTCTACTTTGAAGAGGCAGCTTTTCTCTTGACACATTTTGAGTGCCTTCCAATCTAAGGTGTTCATCTTTAGGTATTATACCTGACAGTATTCTAGTGCTATTCATGTTTCCATCTTCTAGCACTCGATCTGACAGTGTTCCTCTGCTATTCATAAGGTTTACAGAGGCTTAACATTCAGAATTAGTTCACCTTTTCTTCTTCCTAACCTTAGTCTAGAAGCTCTATCATAACCTGTCCACTATGAGTGGTCCTTCTGATATTCAAAATATTGGTGGCATCACAACAACACGCAAGCCAACACAGTACAGAAAACTGACAGATAAATGATGCAATGGCAGTGGGTGGATCTTTTCAAGTATTTTGTCTTTTATCCTTATTTTTCTATCCAGATTGAAGTGGGTTACATCATTCTGGAGACCTCATCTGCCCTTCAAGGATGCTCCCTTCCCAGATCTCTGTCAACATCTCCTTCTTCCAGCCATCTGCATTTATGATGATTGGAATCCCAGGACTGGAGACTGTTCATGGTTGGATCTCCATCCCCTTCTCTTCCATGTACACTGTGGCCCTGACTGGAAACTTCCTGATCCTCCTGGCTGTGAAAAGGACCCCTAGCTTACACCAGCCCATGTATTACTTCCTGTCCATGCTCGCCCTCACTGACGTGGGCCTCACCTTGTCTACACTGCCCACTACATTGGCTGTGTTATGGTTTGATCATCGTCTCATTGGCTTCAATGCCTGCTTGGTCCAAATGTTCTTCCTACATTCCTTCTCTGTGGTGGAGTCCTCAGTGCTCCTGGCCATGTCATTTGACCGTTTTGTGGCCATATCTAACCCCTTGCGCTATGCAGCTGTCCTCACAAATAATGTCATCATCAGGATTGGATTGGTCATTGTGGCTCGAGCCACTATGTCCCTCTTCCCAGTGCCATTCTTGCTTAAGCGATTGAACTTCTGCCCAGGCAAGATCCTCTTGTCTCACTCCTTCTGTTTCCATGCAGATGTCATGAAACGAGCTTGTGCTGACATTACAGTCAACATCCTTTATGGTCTCTATGTAGTCCTGTCCACAGTGGGTGTAGACTCCCTGCTTATTGTTATGTCTTACACCCTGATTCTTCATACAGTGATGGGTCTAGCCTCTCCCAGAGAGCGCCTCAGGGCCCTCAATACCTGCGTATCTCATATCTTAGCTGTTCTGGTTTTCTACATCCCAGTCATAGGTGTGTCCATGATCCACCGTTTTGGGAGACATCTACCCCACATAGTACATGCTCTTGTTGCCTATGTGTACCTGGTAGTACCTCCTGTTCTCAACCCTATCATTTATAGTGTCAAATCCAAGCCCATCAGGGAAGCCATGATCAAGGTGCTGAAGGCAAAGGGGTAATGTTGATGAAATCAAGAAACAACTACAAGATTTGAAAACAAATATGGCCAAATAGTCATATGATTATATATCCAACAGGACTTTATTCAGAGTTCAGACCTAGACACACTGTCAAAAGTATGACAAGATAGAAAAAATGGACAAATGAAACTGGGAATCCAGGGAAGAATTAGGAAGAGTGATGGTACCTTGAAGGAATATTAAAAAAAAAAAAAAAAAAAAAAAAGATTTAAAACAGATTCTTGCCCTAAAGCACCTTTTTAATCTGGAACTTAAACTACTTTTGGAAGTCACCTTTCAAATATATAACAGATTGGCCTATAAAATGAACAATAACACCCATGAGGAATGTTCTACTTAGAACAATCAACTATGCAAAACCAAAAAGGTAACATTTGCCCCAAAGCAAAAATTAAGAAGATAAGACGGGGCAAAGAAACTGGAAGAATGGAAACAGAAAAGGAAGTCTGCAAATGGGGAGAGTGCTGACACATTGCAGGATAACCACCGTTATCACAAAACAATTTGTGCATAAATTGATGAATAGAAGACTAATTTTCTGTATAAACTGTCACCTACAACACAATAAAATGTTTTTAAAAATCAAAGCTTAGTGACTTAAAATGAAAGAAGTTAAAGAGAGTCTGACAAACAAATGGATACCCTCAGACCTCATGTGCTCATCAACTTTAGACATTTTGTCCAGTATTTTTCTTGAGTTAGGATGTTAAAATGAACCAAACATGGTCTCTGGAAGACAGAGACTTGTAAATACACAATATGTGATGTTGTTGTTCAGTGGTGTCCAGTCAGTTCTGCATAGGGTTTCCAAGGAGTGGCTGGTGAGTTTGAACCTCCGACTTTGTGGTTCAAACCAATCTTGCAGTCCAATGCTTTATTCCACAGTGCCATACCAGGACTCCAAATACACAATATAGTAAAGTAAAGTGAGACTGTGATAGGTACACAAACATTCTATGGAAACACAGAGGAGAGTTTCTGATCCTGCCAAGAGGGAATTAGAAAGGAGTCAGATCAGAAAATTAAAAGGTGATGAAGTGTTTCCCAGGAAGAGAAGAAGTAGGCCAAGGGAAAAGCATACCAATGAAAATATAGGGACTAATGTGAGGGCATTAATGCAGGGAATACACAGACTACCACACATTTTGAAAACTACACAAATGAAAGTAGACTAAATAGATGATTGGGACATACTAAAAATTACAAACTTATGTACATCAAAACTTCTCCAGAAGAGTAAAAAGGGAACCCACAGAATGGGAAAAAATCTCTGCAACGACATATCAAACAAAGGACTCTTTTCTAAAATATATAGGAAACTACAACACCTCTACAAGAAAAAGATGATCAGAGCTCAGCTAGAAGAAGAAAGAAGGGGGAGGGGGAGAAAGAGTAGTCTGATACAATTTGATGAACTTGATCACCCCTATCGATGCAGTAGCTCAAAAGAGGGAACAAATCTTTACAGCGAGAATCATTCCCACCCTCTCCATACACAGGGTAGACAGGGATCGGCAACTTGGACATTAGGGGACTACCCAAAATGGGGGACTACAAAGGCAAGAAGTGACTGGTTTGCCAGCTTTCTAGAGGGTGCCTAGATACAGAGGGTGTGGAGGAAAGTTGAATCTCCACTGAGTAGTAGCCAATCTGTCTGGACAGGGCTGATGAAAGGAGATGGGGATAGGTCTCTTGTGGTACAATAGTGAACAATTGTTATCAGGACTGACTGTGAAGGTTGGAAATGTAAAGGTAGGCATTTTGTAGCAAAAGGAGGGGAGTGATTGGCTTTGCAGTCCAGGAGCAGAGGTCCTTGGGACCATCAAGGGAGAAGAGCAGAGTGTGGGACCCTACCCAGAGAAGCAGTGACGTCAGAGATGGAGGCAGAGACAATGATGTGGAGAGATGGAGTGGCTGGGGACTCTAGATCCAGAAAGTGAGAGGGGCTGTGTGCTGATGACCGTGGGATGGGCTTGCAGGGTATACCCTTTGGTTGGTTGATAATGCATGAAGGGGATTGTAACCATGGCAATGAAACAATATACGATAGGATAAATATAAAGCTAGTGTTCTCCCATGTAAACTATCACATAATTCACAATAAAACATTTAAAAAAAAAAATGTGATATCATCACATCATCTCACCCCGGCACTAATAGCAAAGTTCAAAATAACAGAAAACAAGAAATGCTGGCAAAGATGTGGAGAGACTGAAAACACTGCTGGTGAATCTGTAAAATGGTAGCCATTGAGGAAAGTGGTATGACACTTTCTCAAAAGTTGGAAATAGAAATACCATGTTGTTGTTGCTGTTGTTAAGTGCCTTTGAGTCTGTTTTGACTCACACAACTCTGTATATGATTTCTGAGAAGCGACTGGTGAGTTTGAGCCACCAACCTTGCAGTTAGCAGTCCAGTGCATCTCCTACAGTGCCACACATTGCTATGGTCTAGCAACCTCTCTACTTGGTATGCAGCCTAAAGAAATAAAGGCCATGACACAAATGGATATATGCACACCCATGTTCATTGCAATACTATTCACAATAGCAAAAAGATGGAGACAACCTAAAGACCCATCAGTGGAAGAATGGATAAGCAAACTTTGGTATATACACACAATGAAATACTATTGTTGTTGTTGTAAGGTGCATTCAAGTAGTTTCTGACTTATTGAGACCTTATGCACGACACAGTGGAATACCACCTGGGCCTGTGCTATTCTCACAATTGTTGCTATGTTTAAGTCTATTGATATGGTCCTTGTGTCACTCCATCTCATTGGAGTCTTCCTATTTTTGGCCTACCCTCCATTTTTCCAAGCACGGATGTCCTTCTCCAGGGACTGCTCCCTCTTAACATGTCCAAAGTACAATAGACAAGTCTCACCAACCTCACTTTTAAGAAGTATTCTGACTGTACTTGTTCCAGTACAGATTTGGTTTCTCTTCTTATAGTCCATGGACTCTTGGTGTTGCACTGTGGGTTAATGTGCTGGACTGCAAAATAGGCTTGAACCAAAAGGTTGGCAGTTCAAGCTCAGCAGCCGTTCCTCAGAAACCCTATGCAGGGTTGCTATGGGTCAGAACTGACTCTATAGCCCTTAGCAATGACAACAGATTTTTTTGGTCTAGTTCTGAGAAATTTCAATTCTTTACATTCAGGTTTAAATCTATGCTGAAGACGGTAGTGTTTGATCCTCACCAGAAGTGTGTCAAGTCCTCTTCCTTTCCAGCAAACAAGGTTGTGAACCACCAACCTTGTGGCTAGCAGTCCAGTACTTACAGTTCAGTGCTATGGCAGGGCTACTGAGTCACCCTGGTGGTATTTAAAATACCTGTGGCATAGCTTCCAGCATTACAGCAACACACAAGACAACACAGTATGACAAATTGACAGACTAGCGATGGAACGGAACACAACACACCATTTAAAAAGACTATCACAGACAGCATTATACTTCAAGAAAGAACATGAACTGTTCTTGATGAAGAATGTGACACCATTCTGCCTTAATTTGTCATTCCTGATCATTGTAAGCCATGTGATTGTCAGATTCAAAATGGCCAATACTAGTCCATTTCTGTTCACAAATGCCGAGGATATTAATCTTTATGTGTTCCATTTTGTTTTTGACAACTTCCAATTTTCTTAGATTCATACTTTGTACATTCCATGTACTGACTATTAATAAATGTTTGCAACTGTTTCTCCTCATTTTGAGTTGTACCCCATCAGCAAGTCCAAGGTGAAGCTGAAGAAAATTAAAACAAGTCCATGAGAGCCAAAATATGGCCTTGAGTATATGTCACCTTCACTCAATTAACAGTAGAAGTAAAAAAAAAAAAAAATTCTTAAAGCTTTGACTTGAATCTAACCATGAGTAATTAATGAAAAAAGTCCAAAATATAGAAACTAATATCCACATACACACATACAACTGATTTGAAATCTTTTAACATTTTAATGTTATTAAAAATTATGTCAGAAGCATTCATAGAGATTAAATAGATTATAGGAACATAACCACATACTAGCATGAACTTTTAAATTTTAGGAATTTGAATATGCATTGTATGTACCTCAAACCAAACCCACTCCCACTGAGTCAATTCAGACTCACAGTATCCCTATATGGATTTTCCAAGACTGCGGATCTTTACAGGAGCAGTCAGTCTCATCTTTCTCCCTTGGATGCTGGTGGATTTTAATAGCCAACCTTGTGGTTAGCAACTTAATGTGTAATCCACAGCAGAGATTTTATTATAAGCTGCTGTCTAGCCAATTCTGACTCATAGTGAACTTACAGGTGTGAGGATAGAACTATGATCTATAGGGTTTTCAGTAGCTGATTTTTTTTCCCAAAGTAGATCACCTGTCTTTTCTTCCTAGGCACCTCTAGGTAGATACAAACTACCAAACTTTCACTTCGAGCCAAGTGTACTAACAATTTGTGCCACCCAAGGATTATAATTATATTATTAGGTTAGTTTAGCTTGCTTAGGTTTGAAAATGGAAATGTGGTTATGTAAGAGTTTTGATTTTTAGAAGTGGAATGCTTAACGTTTAGTTAAGGAGTGCTGTAATGTCTACAATGAAAGGAGTAAAACCAAGAAAGTATATGTGTGTGCGTGTGTGTGCAGAAATCGAGAGGAAGAGAAATAGAAAGTCAATGTTATCAATCTAGGTGATGGGAATACAAGTGTTTATTACAATATTCTTCCAAATTTTTATAGACTCTAATTTTATGAAAATATAAAGTGAGAGTGGAGAAATATATATGCACTATATATATATTGATATCTTCTATGCTAAGGATCCTTCTATGCTTCAAGAGAGACAGAATAGTCTTTCAAATAATTACTGAATGCTGGGAGAAGACCTAAAACTGGGCCTCACTAATTTAACCCATTGGTGTTAGGCATACAGAGTCAGAAGGCAGAGGAAGCAATATAATTTTTATTTATTCATGACTAGAT